TGTCTTCTGGTGTGAATGACCTTTATATGTACTTATTGCATTTATCTGTCTACTTATTCTATGTATTATGATCAATAAGTAGATTATTTATTTATTAGTCTGTATTTTCATTCTATCCTTTCTGTCCTTTTTCGTATCTTTCTGAAGCACTTTTAGTTACTGCTTATCTTAGACGTGCTCTAAATGATTACATTATTAGCGTTGTTTTATTTTGTTATATTATATATTGTTGTTATATTTTTATTACGGAATTATAAGATTTATTATTATTATAATGGTTGTTTTTATTATCGAACAATATTATAATATGAATATTTTCACTGTTGTTATTAAATTGATACTACATTTTTATATTTATTGTTTATTATTATTATTTATATTACAACAATTATTATTTGTGTTGTTTTTAATATTATCTATATTAAAGCAATATTATAATGATATTAATATTTTGTTTTTTATTATTACATTTATACTACATTTTTATATTTATTATTGTTATGTTACAACATTATTATAATATTCATTATTATTGTTGTTTTTATTATTATATTTATATTACAACATTTTATGTTATTTTATAATTATATTTAAATTAAACATTATCATATTTTTTATTATTTTATTATTATAAAATTGTTTTATTACATTTATATTTAAAAAAAATTATATTACTATGATTATTATTTTACTATATTATAAGAAGTAATGTATAATTTTATTAGATATTATTATAATTTATTGTTATTATTATTGTCATTGGATTACTAATAAATCCTCTATCAAATGTTCTGTAGCTGTTCTGGGTCACCGGTCTCCCCCTTTGGGTCCGATGCGCAATGAGGACATTGACTGGACTCAACTGGACTCTCTGGAGAAATATCGCAGTTACACTCGCTACGTGAGAGCAGCGGAAGAGGCCGACCAGAAGGATGTTTGGTGGAAGACCTATAGGAAGTACAGAGAGGAGGAGAATAAAGAAGGCAAGTGAATACACACTCATCCATAGCTGTTATTTTCACAAGAGCTATACAATCAAATCTAGATGCATCAGTGTGAGTCAGTGAACATTGATTGTTATTGTGGGCAGCCGTTGAGCCGGTCAACATAGGGCTCCCATATCAGCGTCCCTCCAGGAACACTGAGGTGAAGGAGAGGAAGATGGTGATGCTGGAGAACAAAAAGAACCCAGAGATGGAAAGAGACAATCGACTACGAACATGTGAGTGCGTCATTGAACCATCATGATCTCTGAAGAGAAAGCAGAGCAGATGAATTAACAGCAGAATGATGAAAGATCTTCACACTGTTACTGAAAGCAGAGTTTAATTGCTAAGTGTATATTATAAAGTTGCTTATGAGTATTTATACTGATATTGTTTTAATGTTTGTTTTTATGTTTCTATTTTACCATGTGAACCTTTTAAAATTGCTTTTGAGTATTATTTATATTAATATTGTATGAATCATTGTCAATGTTTTTTGCATCTATTTTATTTTGTGAAGCACTTTGAGCTGCATTTCATGTATGAAAAATGCAATCCAATCCAATTTAGCAACCATCCAAAGTACCCTAGCAACAGCATAGCAACACCCCGAGTACCTTAGCAACCGCATAGCAACACCATAGCAACCACCCCAAGTTCCCTAGCAGCAGCCTAGCAACACCTTAGCAACCACCACGGATACATTAGCAACTGCATAGCAACACCCCCGAGTACCCTAGCAACCGCTCTGGGTACCATAGCAACCACCCTGGCTACCCAACCAACCGCACAGCAACACCCTAGCAACCATCCTGGGTACCTTAGCAACCACATAGCAACACCCTAGCAACCACACTGGGTACCCTAGCAACCATCTCAGGTACCGTAGCAACCACATAGCAACACCCTAGCAACCATCCAGGGTACCCTAGCAACACCTCTGCAACCACCCTGAGTACCTTGGCAACCACATAACAACACCCTAGCAACCACCCTATCTATCTGTCTATCTGTCTGTCCATCTGTTTTTCTAATAGACTGTATTGCCTTCAAAACATTCAAACTTAATCTTTAAAACTATTTTAAACTTCAAATTATGTCAAACTGAAAACCGTCAAACTTTTAAAACTTTTTAAAACTCTTAAAACTTTTTTAAACTTAAACTTTTAAAACTTTCTGGTCTGGCTTCATCAAGCCAACTTCAAAGTTTGTCTCGACAGACCTTTTTTTTTTGTATTGCCTTCAAAACATTCAAACTTAATCTTTAAAACTATTTTAAACTTCAAATTATGTCAAACTGAAAACCGTCAAACTTTTAAAACTTTTTAAAACTCTTAAAACTTTTTTAAACTTAAACTTTTAAAACTTTCTGGTCTGGGTTTATCAAGCCAACTTCAAAGTTTGTCTCGACAAACCTTTTTTTTTAAAAATCTATTCTATTTATAATTAATGTTGAATTTGTAATCATACAGCAAATGCAGTGACTCATCAATGTTATCAAAGTTGGAATTAAATGAAAAATCAAAAGAAAGTGATTTTGAAAAAATTTTTTTTTTGCATTGTTGTTTTTTAAGCATATATATATATATTTTTTTTTTCTTTTCTTTTTTTTTTTTTGCATTAATGAAAAAACTGTCACAATGCAAAAATCTTTATGCAAAATTATTGATAATACTTTTTCTTTTGATTTTATTTGATTATGATAATATTTGATACTTTTTTTCTTTTGATTTAAGTGTGTATATATAAACTTGTAGGTTTAGTGTTAGAGAAACATGCTACAAAGGCTGCATGTCTAGACATTACATCATATCAGTCATCAATAGGACATTTCTTGTAACGTTTTCTTGTTTTATGGCTTCCAGTCCGCATTCTGCTTGACAGAGTAAAGGCACAGTGGCAGCAGACTAACGGACCGTACCACATCAAGAGGCTCGCCGAGCACTACGGGGTCTACAAGGACCTCTTCCCCATGGCATATTTTGTGCCGCGGGTCATGCTACATGCAACGTACGGAGAGGACAGCAGCACAGCGGTGCATTATGGGAATCACTTAACGCCGAGTCAGGTGAGGCCTCTAAACTTGTAACGACTATTTCTCCTTGAAATCAAGAAAACAGACTTTGACTTGCACTGTTTGTGTAAAATCCTCAGGCGGCACAAGCACCTCAGATACATTTTGAAGCTGAAGAAAATTCTCTCTGGACGCTGTTGTTAACGTGCCCAGGTACATCGAAATAATTACGTCAAACACTTTTTTTTTAATCTAATGATATCTGTATATATATATATATATGTATATATGTATGTATGTGTGTGTGTGGTGTGTGTGTTTAATATACAGTTGTGCACACAAGTTTACATACCCCTTGCAGAATATGCAAAATGTGACAATTTTAACAAAATAAGGGGGATCATGAAAATTGCATGTTATTTTTTATTTAGTACTGTCTTGAATAAGCTATTTCACATAACAGATGTTAATATATACTCAACAAGACAAAATAATAACTGAATGTATAAAAATGAAAAATATATATAAATATAATTTTTTTTCTTCAAATGTTAAATGCTTTTTGGTCATTTGGTCTTCAGAAATGTCAAGTCAGCATTTAGTAAACTGTTTGCTAGTTGAAGTTCCTCCACAAGATGGTGATACAGTGACATAAACTGTGTCTGTCTTTGCAGATGAACATCTTCTGGATGCTGAGCAGGAGTATCTTCACTGGCTAGTGCGAGTATGTCTGTGAAAATGCTCACATTCCAACAAGAACAAAAAATTTAAAAGAGGAACATCTGGAGATCATAATGTCGTAGAGATTATTTTGACTTGAGGCCAGTAAACAACCACACATACAGTAAAAACATGCTAAAAACCATCATGACCTCAGTCTCACCGGCCCCTGGTTGGAAAACCCTGACCTGAAAAAAATAATTGTTTGACAAAGTACATGATGATATCAGTTTCTAATTATTAATTCATTACAGTGGGAATGTCCCTGGAAATTCAGTGTCGTCAGGAGAAGAGATCTGCTCTTACATCAGTCCATTTCCAGCCAGAGGAACAGGTTTTCACAGATACATCTACATCTTGTTTAAACAGGAAGGTCTGGTTGATTTCAGCGCTGATCTCCGCTCCTGCCCAGGGTCAGTAGTTTCCC